GTAAAGATTTACACCCTCGGAAACCCTGTACAGGGTCGCTATGGGTCGGATCCGACTCGACGGCACTTAACAACAACATAACAACTAGCGCTTCATGCCTTCTTTATTTTTATTATTGATATAAAAAGTTTACTCTTTTAAGCTTCACAACTCCATGAGATTGTTGTTGTTGTGAAGTGCCGTCGAGTCGATTCAGACCCATAGTGACCCTGCATAGTTTCCAAGGAGCAGCTGGTGAGCTTGAACCGCCGACCTTGCAGTTCAAACGACTTTGCAGTCTGACGCATCACCCCACAGCAGGCACTCTTATTTACTCCCATTTTACAAATGAGAAAACAGGTTTATGGAATTGGCTAGCTGGACAAGATCATTCAGCTAGTGGCAGGCCAGAATTCATACCTGGGCAATCTGTCTGGCGTCTGGTTTCTGTAAAAGTAGGTATCTGGCAACTTTTTTTAAAAAGCACCTGGGAAACTGAGACCCCAAAAAGAATGTGCATTTCAGAAAAAGTGTAGGCCACACTGAGAAATAACAGGTAATATCAGACAGCCATCTCAGCGGGCACCAACTGGATTTCAGAAACTCCTCGCTCATTTTAGCGCCCCCACCAACCTCTTTTTAAGAAACATCAATTCACAGTCGTCCATAAGGAGGCGGGACTTCCGGGCACTACAGAGCCAATTCCGGCCAAGCCGGAAATCCCTATTGAGGAAAGAATAAGGGATGTCCGCATGCCTTGTATCTCCTGGCGAATGCTGTCTTCCACAGATTCAAAAGAAACATTGGGCAGGGTTATCTGCGCATTGCCAAGTTCTCAGGGGAGTGGAAAACAAGAGTTAGAACATGGACAGCCGCTTACAGGAGATCCGGGAGCGGCAGAAGCTACGGCGACAGCTTCTCGCGCAGCAGGTCCGCGGCACGGGGTGGCCAATGCGGGGAGGAATTGCGAATGCGCGTGCGTGACCGTCCTTTCCACCCCACCCCCCCCCGCCCCCGCCCTCCCC